CATTTTTTCCAGATCCTCTTTTGTTGCCTTTTCAGCGAGTCCAGGAAGTTGAGTATCAGATTCTTCCATCTTGTTTCCCTTTGGGGCTGCTTTTTGTGATCTGGGAGTCTGGATTTGAGACTTGTTTAAGTGTCTTCTCATTTCAACGGGGTTTGGGGATGTGTGCTGCTGGCACTTACAGGGTTCACCTCCTCTCTGCTGGGGGTCATGTTACTCTGGCCAGGAAGCTTCACCTCCTCTGTGATGGGGGCACCTCTGCTCCTTGGCCCTCTGAAATTTTAAAACTTCCAAATGAAGGCAATAGTCAATAGCTGTCCAAAGGCCTACCACTATTTCTCCAACACACATGCTCATCAACAGAGGTTGAAAACATAAATTGTTCCTCTGACTCTTTTGGTACAGATAAGTTTTCCTTCCCTCAAGAAGGTTGGCTTGTAGTGATAGACTGGGAATCAAATTGTAGGAGACCATGGTTGTGTTTCACAATATGGCAATTGAAAAAATTTATAAGTCCTTCCTAGTTTCTTAGGAAAAAAAAGGGCAATTAGTAACTCATGACTGATGGTCCTTGCAGCTAAGCTAAGTATAGTATTGAAAGATGTCATAATAGAAACAACTTTTCCTTATGCCTGAAGAATTCTGAAATCTGGAATTCGGCTGATTTTTGCGGAAGGTTTCAATCTTCCCTCTTGTGTTTCACTGTTGAGACCACTAAGTTCCATCTTTCCAGTCCAATAGAGTAGCTAGTAGCTATTTCCCTCTAGTGAGCATTTAAAATGTGGCCTTTACTTATTGAAGTATGTGAAAGTATTTCACCAGATTTTGAAGGTTTATACAAAAAAGGGTAATATGTATTATTCATATTTCATACTATTTATGTGATGAAATGGTAATATTGGGTTAAATTAACTGATTATTAAAATTAATTTTGCATGTTTATTTTTCCTTTTCAATGTAGCTACTAGAAAATTTAATTTGAATAGTTGGTATTTGTGCTTCATACTACATGTACTTTGTACAGTGTTGAGCTAGGCTTTGCTTCTCTTTACATTTCTTTCTCATTTTATGACTTGGAAAGAGAACAGTTTATCTGATTAGTCTGTGAAAAGTTCTTGTGTCAGAATCCAACCTGTATAGAAGCAGCATGACTTATCTGCTTTTATGTGGAGGGGGAGTATATACACTTTGCCAGCTATGACTATGACTGGATGGGTAATTATGTCAAATTTTGGGTGATGTTTTAGCAAGTACAACTAGCATAGCTTTAACGATTTCCTGAAAACATGATTTTATCAATAATAACACTAATGCTTAGTTTCCATTTCCACCTTTTTGACTCCTAGGTCTATCTTAGTTTGATATAATTTCAAATTGGGAGATTATTCTTTATAAGGACCTCTCAAACCTAGCAGGTGGCAAAGAGAAAGAGTAACCGAGGAACATTTGCTACTCTCAGTAATCAGTATGTCACTGAGGCATGATTTTGCTGCTACTTACCTTTAGGCAGTCTAGTTCAAGCCATCTCAACCTGATGGCAATCCAACAGTAGATTTTGAAGGAAGTAGGATTCTGAGAATAAGAAACAGCACAGTAAATTGCCAAGGCTAATGGTGTGAGGGATCCTACATGTCAGCCAGGGAGAGCACTATCCTGTCATGGAACTGTGTAAATTAGAGATGTCTGTGAACGTCTTCCAAACAACCCACATTACTGGGCCTGGCTCATCAAGAACCTGATGGCTAGACTACACAACATAAATCACTTGGGATGTTTTCTCATTTTTCCCATCTCTTTGCATAATAAAGAGAGATCTAAAAATAGCAGAGTGAGATGGTAATAAAAAAGAAAAATGAAAGAATAAGCAGTCTTCTCTTTCCCATCTACTAAGTCATGGTTTTAGGTTTGCACTGATTGTGAAATTAAACTTTCAGTTTAATTGTTATGGGCTGTTGTCTCAGCTGAAAGCAAATCATGCAATTGAATGAGTTAAGAAACCTAAGGGATTTTCCTTAGGTGTCTTCAAGGATTAAGAATGGTAAAGAAGATAGAGTGATGGATATTAAATTTTAATATACATCAGAAACATGGAGGGCTTGCTAAAAACATTGTGGATTCTACCTCAAGAGTTTCTGATTCAGTAGGTCTGGTTGTGGTGGTGGGGTGTCTGAGGTCTGAGAATTTGTATTTCTAAGTTTTTAGCTGATCTTGCTGACGATCACCCAGGGATTATACTCTGTGAAACATTGTTAAAGGCAGTGATAAAATGAAACAATAGCAAAACAGCCTTTCTGTTTGCATACATTAAATTCAGTTCATTCAATAAACCGATTTCATAGACGAGGGTATACATTTATAAGAAATGTTATATATAAGAAATAGCACAGTTTTCTTCCCATTAAGTTTATCGGTACATTTTAGGTATACAATAGTTACATTCATCATTGGGATCTTGTACCTTTACATGATGTATCTTGATTCTTATTTTTTCCCCATTTCCTTGTCCTCCCTTCACCCTCTCACCCTTCCCTAAGAAATAGCACAGTTTTATTTGTAGAAGCAAAACATACCTATAAATATGTGGTTAGTAAATTACACATTCATCAAGTGGAATACTGTAGAGCCATTATAGTTACATAGAAATATATCTAAAACATGTTTTCAAGTTATAAAATGCAAACAAGCCAGTAGTGCACATATATAAACCCATCTTTATAAACAAGCATATACTTGTATATTAATTAAAATCAAGTGAAAGAACATGTATGAACTAATTAATGGTGGTTATATCTTGCTCTGAAGTCAAATGGTTGTGCAGAGTTAGAGGGAGTTGAATTTGAAAGATTTATGCTTCTAAATAGCTGATCAAATATTTTTATCCAAAGAAAAGCCACAGTTTAGAAATGCTGAGTGTGATGGTTAATTCTGATTGTTAGCCTGACTAGATTAAAAGACACACAACAGACTAGTAAAACACACTTCTGGGTGCGCCTGTGGGGATTTTCAGAGATGACTGCCATGTAATCCTGCAAATTGAGAGCAGAAGATCCATTTTGTGTAGATGGAATGAAAGGGGAAGAAGGAGGAAGTCAGCTTGCATTTGGAAATCTTCATTCTGCTTCAGTGGGTTCATCTTTGGCTACTTGCATTACCTGTGGACATCATACCTCAGTTTGTTCAGCCTTTCAACATGGAACTCACATGCATGACTGTCCAGGAAGCTTCTAGGTCTTCAGTCTTGGGCTGGTACTGCATCCTTGATCTCTCTTCTTCTAAGGCTGCCAGCTTTTTGGACTCAGCAGCTATAGGATCCTCTGGCTCTCCAGTGTACAGTGGGCTATGGAGTTTCGTACCTCTGATTCTGAAAGTCTAATAAGTTCCCTTGCACAATTAGATGTACACGTTTTTTATTGATTCTGTTCCTCTAGAGAACACTATCCAAAACAGTGATTTGCATAGGCTAGTACAGCCAAGCTGGGTGCTTTTTTGCCTTTCTTTGTCAGAAAAATAGCAGCCTGCCCAAGTATCTCACCTCCATTATGAAAACTTTCCCAAGTTTTTCTTCACTTGGTAATCTCACTGTTATGAGCTGAGTTGTCTCCTTGCAGTTTATATGTTGAAGTCCTAACTTCCAGTTACTCCAAATATTATTCTATTTGAAGGAGTCTTTAAAGAGACAGATAATGTAAAATATGATCACATGAAGAAGCTTAATTCTGCATGACACATTTTTTTTTAATACTTTTTCTTGGTAGTGGGGATCGAACTTGGGACCTTGGACTTGTGAGGCAGGCCATGGAACCACTGCACTAAATCCCTGGCTTGTGACACATGTCTTTTTAAGAAGAGGAAATTAGAACACAGACATGTACCTGAACAGAAGACCACGTGAAGGCACAATGAAGAGAGGTCTCAGAAGAAGCAAATCCTGCCAGCACCTAAGCAGACTTTTAGCATCCAGAATGTGTGGAAATTTCTGTTTTAAAGCTGCCCAGTTATGGGATTTTGTAATGGCAGCTCTAGCAAACTCATATACTCACAGTACTTTATTTAACACATTGCATTTTAGTGTGTTTATTTTTTTTAGTAGCCACTGGATAAACCTTTTGTATTAGTTTTCTATTGCTGTCATAACAAATTACTACAGAGTTAGTGGCTTAAAATAGCACCAATATATTATTTTAGAGATTCTGTACAGATCAGAAGCTGGGTGCTGGTTTCACAGAGCTAAACTTAAAGTGTTGGGATATTTTTAGAGGCTCTTGGGGAGAATCCATTTCCTTGCTCATTCAAGTGCTGTCAGAAGTCAGTTCCATGTGGCTGTAGGACCAAAGTCTGCTTCTTGGTTGCATGTCCTTTGGAGACTGCTCTTATCCGCAAGAAGTTATGGGGATTAGGGCATAGCTGACAAATTCCGTGCACTGTTTTGAATCCTTAACCTTTACTAGGGACCCCCAAATAGATTTTTAAACCATATTTTAAAACCTGAACTTGTGGATGAAAGAGAGAGTAAAGAAAGAAGAGGGAGTAACATGAGGGAAAGAAGCAAAAAAAGAGAAGAGAAAAATAATATATTCCCAATAAAACTTCATGTTGTCAGATAGAGGACTCCACACTGTCCAGTATGTAAAATTTAGCTACCTATTGTATTAGACACATAAAAGGTATTTAAAAAGTATCTAAAAAGATTCTACATTTATGAATTTAGTTATTAATCACTTTACCAATGACTAATCTATAGAAGTAAATACTATCAATTATAGTAACTTGTGTTGTTCACTACCTGGTTGATTTATAGACACTATGATCTTCCACAACTTAAATTTAAAGCACTAGCACTAGAATAAGATAAAATACTACTTTATATAATTTAATGTTTTGATAAGAAAAACCTGGAAGTCTTGAAGTGAGTGATATTATAACTATATTTTAATCTATCTATACCTATTACTATATCTCTATATCTATTTAAACCATCTACCTCTGTCTATGTATCTTTTTAGGTAATGTTATCAATTTGAGAGACAACATTTTAACAATATTACAGATACATCAAACACTACTGTATCCTTTTTGGGAAAAATGGTTGTCTATTCTACAAATGTCATTTGATCTTGGAGATGCTCCAGTCATTTCTAATTTTAGGTCTAATCTTCCCTAAAAAAATTTAGGGGGTAAAATGAATTTGTTATGTGTTACTTTCAGGGCATACTGATGAGAAGATAGTCTATTTTAGCCATTTTAGTTAGGTTTTATGGGGTTAGCCTTGAATAAAATGCGAATAACCTACTCAGCAGCAGATAATTACTCAAGTAGGATCATTCACAGAATATCAATAAAAAATGATATCCTGATGAAAGCATTGCAGGATTTCTCAGCAAGACAGGATTATAGTCATAAAGTTGCTTTCTTGGCAGTTTTAGATTTTCTTCAGCTAACTAACTCAGATTTCTTAGCAAAATTGTAACATTTATTCTGTCAATTGTTATTTTCATGACAGACAATCTAAAAACTTTTACTTTAAGTGAAGTGCTGCAGTTATGTATTTGTTGGTTAAGATCTATCTATCTATCTATCTATCTATCTATCTATCTATCTATCTATCCATCCATCCATCTATTTATCTGAGAGGAACAGCATCAGGTTCTTCAGGTTAATATTCCAATTAACAGAGTACATTGGTGCATCTGAAGTGTTATGGTACTATGGTAACCTGCAATTCCAGTGTGCATTGATGGTTTTTACCATACTCTAGATCTAACTGTGGATAGAGTTTGCTCCACGGAGTCTCCTAAGGGTGAATGAGGTGGGGCTGGGGCAGAGGGGACAATAGAAGTATTGGAGGCAGGTAGGCTGGCTGACTTTCAAAATCCTCAGTTCTCATCCCTCTTTCAAATTGACTGTCTGATTTAAAGCTTTTTTTCTTAACATCATAAAAATAGATCTCAATTACATGATAATTGAGTTCAGAATAAGATCAAATGAAATCCACCGGTAATCAAAAACACTAATTTAATTGCAAGTTTCAATTTTCCCCTTCAACTATATTTATTTAATAAATTTGCAACAAAGAAATGAAATGGAGTATTTTCTTATCTCACCATCATTCCTCCTCCCCTTTTTGGCTTCTGAAATAATAATATTTTTGGCTTCAAAAATAATAATAGGGAACAAGGAGTTTTCTGGATAATACTCACATTTAATAAATGACTTCTAAATTGCCTTGATTGAGAAGAAGTAAAATAAATTGTCCATACCAAAAGAAATGGGCATCACCCAGTAAATTATTTTAATAATGTATTTTTCTATTAAAGCATATTATTCTTTGTATTATGCTTCTTATTCTCATCATTTTGGGGTGTGCATCCATCCCACTGCAGAGTTCATGGTGATTAGTAAATAGTATGATCCTTGGTGACCTACCACTCACACTCACACCATTTCTTTTTTCTTATATTTGTATCTGGATAAAACATTCTTGTTGTTTTTATCATCAAAAACATTATCAAAGAACAAATAGAGCTGTGATTTTATATTGCAGGTTTGTGCTGACTTCATGTGTCTCATTCTGTTACAGTTGCAATATTTACCATCTAGTTTCTCTGTAAGTTGGAGCCTAACATTGAATTCTTTCTTTCTGATTTTACATTATATAAATATAGTATTTGGTATAGTAGCTATACCAAATAAGCTCAGAGTCATATGCATACTGGATGAGAGAAATATTATTTTATTCTTTAAAACTGTTGAGATTTATCATTGTTCATAAAGTTGTCATTTCTATATTCATTAAAAACAAACTCATTCTATAATTCTTTGAGAAATCTTGATAACTTGTTTATCAAAGTATCTCTGGAGAATTAAAATTATCACTTAGGAACTACTTTTTCTTAGTAAATAAAATTTCATTTTTAAAATGTTCTCTTATGAAAATGGCATGTCTGTACTCTGAAAAGAATGCTACGTGGGTGAAATTTCTCATTGCTACCATATTTCTGTTAAGCACTAGTATGTAAAAATGAAAAAAAGTGTACTCGTTTTCAGATTCTTATTTTTTTCACAGATATTTATTGACTAGTGTGTGAGAAATTAATCTAATGTAAACCTTGTGCTCAAAGGAATTATATATAAGGGCCATGTGTCATCCTCACAAATAACATATTATCACACAGAAAGTGATGAAAACATAAGAAGGTGTAGACAAAATACTATAAAATTTTAGAAAAATAGGAATTTACTTATTAAGATTGGAAATATGATGCAGATTAATTAGTTGATAACAAAGCACCTACTGTGGTATATGCCACATCAGATATGTACAATTTTTTTCCTTACAATTTGATAGGTTCTACCTCGTGAGTTATACTTTGAACATTAGGCAGGATCTACAAGCATAAAGTTGGAGGAGAAGATAATGACTTGACATGCTGTTTCTTAACTCTCTATCCTATCAATCTATCAATCTATCCAATCTATCTATCTAATTTCCAGAGTTAAATTGCCTGGATTTGGAACTTCAACTTGTTTTTAAAAAATATTTTAAAATTACTTATTTGAAATGACAAATAATGAAGACACCTATGTCTCTTCTTATACAGATTTGTGATCCACTTTCGGTAGAGTCATAGTGATGTAAGAGTGCCTTTTTCGTCCAAGCATTTGTTGCTTAATTTTTCACTTATGGGGTTACTGGATCCACATGATGTTCTTCTGCCCTGTGTATGCTGAAAAGTTTCATAGCTGATATTAACTAACTTAAGTATTTTAGGAGGAGTAGATGTATTTCTATCATGCAAAGTTTAACCTGAAATGTATGCTACTATGAAAAAAAAGAATGGAATCTTTGTGAAATTTAACCACTGATACTAGTATTTGTGTTAGCCACATTGTAGTGACTTTGTGAGGTAGAGGCAAACTTAAAGCATTACTTCTCTAGGAAAATAAATCTCCAAATAAGCATGCTATAAGCAAACTTTTAGAAAATACTGATGCCATAATTAGTGGGCTGCATATATTTATCAGGAAAATACTATGCTTTGGTAGCCTGGCATGTGGACTTCTGGTAAGAACCTTAGCAGATTTTTGATAGGATAACCTGTAAATGTGGGGAATATGAAAGGAGAAAAGGACACAGACACCATGAAGAGTTTGCTAAAGTGCCACCTCATGTTTCCCTGCCCCAAACTCCAGAGTGTATTTTTATTTTTATTTTTCCTCTCTTTTACTTGGCCCAAACTCACTCTGTAGAGCCAGTTCATCCCTTGCTTTTCATTTCTAATTATCCCTACCTCTAATAAATGTGAAACTGCCACCATTAAAAAAAGAAAATATTATGCTTTGGTAAATTCACTTTTATTGTATTTTTCTCAGAATAATAATAGAATGTGAACATTAGGAAAATGTCTAAATTTAAGCCATGGACATCTTTCAGCTCTGCAAAAGACTTGTATTCAGTAGGTAAGGAAGGCAATAACATTTATTTATTTTGATAGTTGTAACAGCCTCGGGATTGATGTAGCACTGTTTGTTTCCTCTCCTCTTTGTATGACTCAATATATTTCTCTTTCTTAAGGCTCACACAGAACTGTAAATGATGAATAATACATGTAGGAATGTTTATGAATTCTTCCTTTAGGACAATTACTTTCATCAATTATTAAAAGCTGATAATAAATGTTGATTATCTGAAAACAGAGGAGGAAAATTAGGACCTTGGGAGATACATACGAAATTTATGTATTGAGGGAGATTAGTATAAATTAAAGAGGAAGTTAAAGGATTTAAAAAGACCCTTGAGGCTTATCTGTAATTTCAGTAAGCCTTTGATGTTTGAGATGGGGATGATATCAGGACAGACTGTGGAATGTATGAAGAGTAGTGTGATTTGACCATTGATGAAAGGCAAGTTGATTTTTGAGCTAGTACAAAGTTTTTAGCAAGACCAAGAAGGATGTAATGACCAAAAACATCATGAACCAAATGGGGATGTGACCAAGCATGGGTTTCTAGATGATCAAGAGGATAAAATTAGTGTTTTGGGACAAGCAGCCCCAAGAGAAAGGATTTAGCCTTGAGGATATTCACAGAAACAAATCTAGAATAGGGACCCTATATTCAACATATGGTAGTGTAACACACGAGTGTAGTGTAGAGTTAGGAAAACAAAACAGTAACAATGCAATAACAATACAGTGGCAGCAACAGTGGAAACAATGAAAAGAGCTAGAATGGTAGAAGACGTAGAATTATTAGTAGAGAATAATAATGAAAGAATTAACTAATAATGAAAGATATAAGAGCAAGTTAAGGTAGGAAGCACATTGTAAAATATATACTAAGCACTCCATAAGTAATATTTGAAGGCGAATCTAAAATTCTGAATGATTCTAGTCATCTTTGGCAAGCAACTTGCAGGGATTACTGTCATATTAATTAAAGGACAAAGGGAAAATATGTGATACGATTAAATGATGAGGAAAGAGACTTTATTTCCAATTACAGCTTCCTATAAAAGTAGAATATTCTGAGAATGACTTGACATTAAACTGCATTTGGGGTATCTTTTTAATAAATTGATTTATTTGTCATAAATTTGTATGCACTGTTGGACCTATGTAGTATTCTCTGTCTGTTGCTTTTATTGTTCCCAAATTTCTTTTACAGTTTCCAAAGTACGTCGACTTTAAATAACTCCATATGTGTTAAAAAATCAAACCTTCTTAAAACAAATATACTGAACCAGTGATTCAGTGACTGATTCATTGATTTATTCAGCAATTATTGAGTGTCTGACATTATGAGACCTGTTTCTCCCCTGGACTTGTTGACAGTGGGGAAAACTGAAACTTAGAAGCAGCAAACTACAGTACATGCTGACAGCTATGCAAAACACGGAAGACGCATCTCACTACCCTTGGAAGAGGCAATTCATATATGAGGAGACATTTGCAAGGTAAAGATTGTTGGAAGGAACCTTTCACAGCACAGGAAGATTAGTTTAACAAGAGATATGGGGACAACAAACAATCTGTCATGTCTGAGAAAGAGATGAGAAAAAATGGTGTGGTAAGAGCACAGCATTCATGACAAATGAGATTATTTGGCATTAGATAGTGAAGTCCCTGAGCTATTGTGCTAAGAATTTTAGTTCTAATTCTAACAGCCCATCTGTCAAACCAACAGCTATTTTGAAAGACAGAACTGACTTGATCTGTATTATGTTCTCAATGTTAATTATAGCAGGACTTGAAAGATGGATTGGTGGGAGGAAAGACTAAGTCTAGGCAGGAGAAAGTGGAGACAGTTATTGCAATTTTCCAAGAAGGAATGAGTGCTTGAATGTAGGCAAGAAAACAATTCAGATTCATATTTCTTGAGTAAAATAGATGAGTGTTTTTTGGGGGTGTGTGAATATAGGGTGTAAAAGAGAAGAAGTAATTGACAATGACTTGGAAATATCTTCTTTGAATAACTATTTTGATGGTGATATAAATGAAGAATTAAGAATAGAAGAGACTGATAAATATAGAAGGCAGGGAACATTAAAGTTTGCCAGTGTTAAGGTCACTAACTAGATAGAAAAACATTTTTACTCAATTCACATTCAAACAGGAACAAAGAGTAACTGGATATTGCTTAGTAGCTGAGACCTAATTAGAAAACAGATCGCACATAAAAATGTGTAGAACCTTATGCTTTGGCACCAGTGGCAAGCAATTTTCTTTTGCAGTGGTATGAGCAATGGCAACATTTCTTGTTTCTATATTTTTTCTTTAATGTTTTCCCATGCATGGCAATTTTTCCATATGCTAGGCTGGGTAGATTCTTATTGCCATATGGCAGCACATAATATGAGAAAAAAGTCATGAAGAAGAGGCTTGTAGTTGTCTAAAGGCATTGCTCCTGGAAAATCACAATTCCATGTTTGGTTTCAGAAATATTTATGTTAGGCAGAATGTCTGGGTTAAGAAGTTGGAGAATGCAGGATCTATTAAGATATGGATGCC